AACGCTTAGCAACTCGTCCAGCTCGGGTGTGTACATCGCCTAAGCCGGTTTTATGGCCCTCGCCTAACTTGGCCGTTTTTTGACCCAACAGCCTCCCTTAAGCTGTTCTTTCGGGTCGCGCTCATGCAATGGAGAAGTATCAGTAACCAACCTCGACGTGAAGTGTGCCACTGAAGGCACTGTTTACGACAAAAATGGTTTCTGAGTTCTCCCTCTAGGAATACCTTGGGGCCTCCAAAAGTAACAGGAAGGGCGCAGTCAAGGAGTCCCAAAACTCAACGGCTAGGGCATAATGGGAGACCCGTTACCGGATCGCCCGGACTTCCCGCCCTTCGATCGTTGTCACTTCAGACTAGTATCGAGGCGACACAGATCGCAATACTCGTCCTAAGTCCCACGCACAATAAGCTAATCGCCAAGCGATGAGACGACGTTTTTCGCCTATTCTTTTATTCTCTGTTATTCGTTTTGCTGCAGCGATTCTTATTCTAATTTTCTACCTTCAACAGGCCGGAAAAAAGGGTTATTTTTGCTGTTACTAGAGTTTTTTTTTGAACTTATGCTCATGGACAAATAGATTTTTGCTTACCGTAGTAGTTATTCGCACCAGGATCCACACATACGCAATGACACACATTGTATAGCTCGTCCAAACGCCCCATTCTCCTTCATTTTTCTGGTCTTGTTCTCATCCAGCCCCTTTTTGCCGATTTTTCGAAGCCTTTTTTCACTTTGGAAACACCGACTCATGCAGTTTCTTCGATTTCATCGCACTATTTTCCATCTCGTCAATCTTCCATTTCTCGTCATAATCTGGATTACCCAAAATTATCATGAACTGTGCCTTGAACGTAAGGGGTTGAGTTTACACTGCCCCTCTAAGTTTCCAATCGAGAAAATATCATATGAGTCACTTGAAAATATTTATTGACTCACATTTACTCTCATTTCAAGATCTGATACCGACCGTGCCAATCCTGCATGGACTTTATTGGCTGCTAGACATCGGTATCTAGATATTGTCCTCTTCAACAACAATCAGATGACAAAAAAAGAGAGAAATCGGACTGAGATGTAATTTTACCTTAGCAGCTTCCAGCATGTATGTCCTACAACACCTACGGCGAATATGGTCGAAACGCACCAAACAATAAATGATATAGTGATTCTGGAACATAATTTTGGAAGGTCTTTGGTTGTTATTTTCAGAGTCCATGGTAACAGTAACTGATATACTGACATCCGCAGTTGTGGTATACATACAAAGTTAGAAGTGCTCAAGTGGTCGCATGTCCTAACCATCCAGCATTCAAATTCACATGATGATTCGCATGTATATTGATCCGAATGACATTTAAGTATTCCACCGTTTATGTCGATATCCAGAGACATCAGCGAAGTCCTGAAAAAGATACTAAAGGCCATAGTAGGTAAATAGGATGGGCGAGAGTATGGATGACTTGAATAGTTAGTCTCTCAAAAGCACAGTTCACGATAAAAATGAGTTTTGAGATGTCCCGCTAGAACGAATATGTGGGACCCCAGTCGTATGTGGCCCTGTTATACCTGAACACGGCCTAGATAGGGCGTTATAAAGGCTCAAAGATTGTACCACGTGTGCCCTCGGACGAGTTTCACTGGCATTTTAGAGGCTGCACCAATCGCAAGGAAGCCAATCTAGGGAGGCATTATAAAACGACTCGTCATGACCAATAGTGACAGTGGAAAGTAGTTCTGTACAGTTCTTGCTTGATGTAGTCAACTCTTTAGGCAACTGCAACAGCTAAAATTTCGTCTGAGTACCCCTTCCTTCGGAAAAAAGTGTCGTCTGTCATGAAGCTGGAACCTCAAGCAACAACCGTTTTAAATAATCTGAGGTCATCGTGCGCGGCAAGTGCAACGGCATCTTCTGACCACCAGAAAGAGAAAAAACACATATCCATTTTTTTCTGAGGTGAATGCGTCTCCATTTCAATCAGGCTCGGATAATTGACGGTATCGAATGAGCCTCCTCAGTACTTTTAGTTCACAGGAACGAAAATTCAGTCCGGCACTCGGTTCTTACAGTAATCCGGCACGTGTTAACACGCAAATATTTACCCGTCATATATACGACGCGTCGAAAAGGGGCTTTGGGCAAGGACACGGGGGTGGTGGTGGGGTAAGCCAGGGGGTTACCATAAGAACCGAGTGCCAGACCGAATTTTCGTCTTAGTCCCTTAGTTCATATACTGGTATTTTCCGATAAAATGGCTATATCAAGTACATTTGTTTATTTATTTAATATTAATAGTATTTATTATTTATTTGAATTTCAATATTTGATTTGATTTAATCGATCAATTCATTAGCCTCTTTATAGGTACTCATTTTTTTTTCACGTCCCACACTAATTCGCGGCGCATACGGTGAATCTAAATCATTTCCGTGGATGACAGCTAGAACAGTCCTCATACTGAAAATGCTATTTTTGAAGTAACCTCGGGTAACGCTGCTTCTACATCCATTTCCTGGATTATTTCTGGGCGAATTTCCGGGGATACGCCCCCTTCTGAAAATAGGTCACTTCGACATTACATGGCCGCCAAGTCCAGTTAGGAAGAGACGACCTAGCTGAGGAAAGTGAAAGCAACAGAGAATATACAGGAAACAGCTAATGCGAACTTCCACATAAGTTTAAGCGTTCACTAAAGATTAGATGAGACACAACGATGGGATAAACCATTGGGGCACTTTGCCCACTTCTGATGAAGCTTAGTTAGATTCGTCAAATGGAGATGTAACAGCACGGAGACTACCTTATAGAAGACAACGTCGGACTTCTTCAGATAGGAAACGGATGTGCGCACGTAATCATGAGTCCGGTAGGTGGACGCACTACATTAGAGCAGGAAGCACAGCGTGATGCAGAAATGTTGGGTTAAGCACATGCTTCCGGAAAGTAGTAAGAATACGTAGATATAGATTTAATTTACTAATTGTGATAGTAGGTTCCATGCTTGCTCAAGACAAACGAGAACAATTTGTCACTCAGCCTTCAAATCCCGTTTTGCCTGGAATGCTTTCCTCCCGACTTCTTTGACTTCATAGAACCCACACATAGGATTTGCATGAAGACGTAATCAGAGCCATAATCCGTTGAAAAGTCTTTTTTTTATGTCAGATTGTAACTCCCGTTACACAGCCGCGTCGCACCACCTGGGCCCGCCCACATGGAGGCGTATTCCGATTGGAACCTACTTTCTAAGAAGAAATCCGCAGAGAGCATGATATTATTATCATATTTATGTAGAGTTGCCAAATGTTGCCTTAACACTTCCAGCACAACAAAATTACATTCAAATCAACTTAATAAAACAATCTGAAGGGAACAAATACAAACAAACCGAAGACTCAATTTTAAAAGTATCTTCGAAAACCACTTTTTTTCATTTCAGGAATGCAATTCATAAGTCAATAATGTCAATTAATTTACAATAACAATTCTATGTGTTCAATCTCCGTCGTACGAGCTGCTCAGTTGATTTTCACCTTGGCAAGAACGTCTTCATTCTGTTTTATTTCTCATCTATTCAGGATTCTTCGCTTAACAACAAACTGGCCAAAGCTTCCACTTGTTCGTCCCCATAGCCGATATCACTTGCGTCCGGATTTGCTGGTCGGACGTGTGGTAGTACCGACTTTGCTACCTAAACCGAAGAAAACATGAATTCCACTACCATATTACACGAAAAAAATCTCAGGATAGCAAAAAAATCACCTTCCCCCTCACCAATCACAAACATTCTATCGACTGAAGTTGACTTTAGTCATGCGCGTAAGCAATTAGAGCGTATAAAAACATTCGAAGTGTGTACCTAATCATAAAAATTCCCTTTCCTTATGGTTAGGTACACACACCCAATCCCACCCTTACTCTTTCCCTCCCACTTTTACCATTTTTAACAAACCACCAGGTAAAACAGCGAAATGACACAAGGACTATAGAATCACTGAAGTGTAAAATGCCATCCAAAAGAAAAAAAAAGCCCACTAGCGTGATACATCGCTTGGAGAGAGCGCTCAAAGAAAAAAAAATCAAGCTGAGTCCCGCTAGTCATTTCTTCATTCAACACGCCACCAAAAAACAACTCTGCACCTGCACCGTCTGCACGGCTTTAGAGATCTGTGCAGAACATCGGTAGCGGTGGTCCGGGTGAAATTTCAGAGCACCATGAAGTTTGTGTACGGTGTATGGATTGCCCCCTAGGCCTATCCCTTCAAAGCTCCACAGAACGTAATTCAGTGGAGTCGAATTTGATGACTGCACAGGTCAGAGCCTCGAGAGATTATAGGCAGACCGAACATATCAGTTAAAAATTTCATCCGTAGCCGTTTGCGCAGCCACCTTATGCAGCTGCAATCACGCATACCCCATTTCGTCCTTCTTCAGCTCATCTGAGAAGAACTCCAGAATGGAGATAAAGCGTTGTTTTGTGGACTTAAATACGTATTTATACATAGTATGCCAGTTATATCATTTACTCATTTACTAGCCCAACCCAACATAGCTCTGCATATTTATTTTCCGAACTTTTCCGGCGCATCCCAAATGGGTTCATAAACATTGTATTTCTCCTAAAACAGTCTGATTCTGTCACTCAAAAAGCTGCATGAGTTGTTCCCGGACTTCTCATTGCTAGCATCCGTCCACTTTTTGCTACCGCCTCCTACTCTTCCCTCCTTTCCAGTACCCGAAAGTTTATCGCTCACTTACCTTTTCCACGATACTTTCCGCAACCACTAGCCGGTCAAGCTTCTTAATCATCACTGATTCCTTGTACGACGGTTCGGTAGGAGGCTGGACAACGTCACGAAAAACGTACCTAAATCAGAATGTATCTCATCCTGCAGTAAAACAATGTAGACAGATAGATACTGTAATCTATTCTTGCATCTTCCTTAAAAGACCCAGCTTTTTCCCATGGATCATCAAAGACATGAGGGTAGTTGGACTAATTAAATTGTAATTTGAAGTTGATTATGTCTTTATACAGCACTGCTATCAAGAAACTGTACAGTCGACTAATTCGATTGCATTCGAATCGGTATTTCAGCGGTTCCAAACGATGTCTAATAACATAGACCTTTCTCCAACTTCTCTCTTGCTTTAACCTCGGCATAGTTGTTTA